AGCCTCCTGAGTAGCTGGGACTACAGGCACGTGCCACCATGCCCAGCTGATTTTTTGTATTTTTAGTAGAGACGGGGTTTCACCATGTTGACCAGGATGGTCTTGATCTCTTGACCTTGTGATCCACCCGCCTCGGCCTCCCAAAGTGCTGGGATTACAGGCATGAGCCACCGCGCCCGGCCTGCAACACGTTCCTTAAGCTGGAGTCCCTTCTTCCAGACTCTGGGACACGTCCTCCAGCCACCTGGTCCAGGGCCCAGCAGGCCAGCTCATTCAGCAACCAGGGAGACCCGGGGTGGGGCCGGTGCGTGAAGTCAAACCCTGGCAGGAATCACTGGGCAGCCGTCCCAGGCAGGGAGTGTGTGTATGTTTAGGCTGGAGAAATGTCGCCACCCCCTTTATTCCTTTTCCCAGGGCAGGAATTGCAAAACCATGGATCCTTCCTCCCTTCCTTCTTCCCTTCCTTCATGTAATGAATCTTTTATTGATTACCTTAATTGAGCCAGGCCCTGAGAAGTCTCCATGAGCAAAAGACAGGAGTCTCTGCCCTCAAGGAACCAACATTTCCTAGTCAAAATAGGCAATAAACAGCATGGGCAACATAGCGAGACCTCATCTCTAAAAAAAACCCCAAAAAACAAAAATTAGCCAGATGCGGTGGCACGCACCTGTTGTCCCAGCAACTCAGGGGGCTGAGGCAGGAGGATCACTTGAGCTCAGAGGGTCAAGGCTGCAGTGAGCCGAGATGGCACCACTGCACTCCAGCCTGGGCAACAGAGCAAGACCCTGTCTCAAAAACAGAACAAAAATAGATGACAAGCATTTTGTTTTGTTTTGTTTTGTTTTGTTTGCTTGTTTTTGAGACGGAGGCTCACTTTGTCACCAGGCTGGAATGTGGTGGTGCAATCTCGGCTCACTGCAACCTCCACATCTTGGGTTCAATTGATTCTCCTGCCTCAGCCTCCCAAGTAGCTGGGATTACAGATGCCTGCCACCACACCCGGCTAATTTCTTGTATTTTTAGTAGAGATGGGGTTTCACCATGTTAGCCAGGATGGTCTCGATCTCCTGACCTCGTGATCTGCCCACCTCAGCCTACCAAAGTGCTGGGATTACAGGCGTGAGCCACTGCATCCGGCCAATAAGTGTCTATATTTTTAAAACCAATAAGATGATAGGCTAGAACGTGAGCTGTGTCCAGATGATCAGCAGTATGGGGGTGCTAAGGCCCAGGAGCTGACGATTAGTCTTATTTTTTAATTTTTTAAAGTTATTTTTATTTTTTTGTTTGTGAAAAAATATGTCCTCTCCTCCTCAGGGAAGCAGACCAGCAGCCCTTCATTCCCCTAGACCCAGTGCCAGAGGTAAGAGAGAGTCTTGCCTGTATTACCCAGGACACCAAAATGTCCTGCCCCAGGGACCCTCCCCGCCCCACATCCAGGTCTTCTGTCTTAAGGGCAGACCCCAAAGGACAGACCCCATGACCACTGATGCCTTTTCCTTCCTTCCTTTCTTTTCTTCTTTCTTTCTTCTTTCTTTCTTTCTTTCTTTCTTTCTTTCTTTCTTTCTTTCTTTCTTTCTTTCTTTCTTTCTTTTTCTTTCTTTCTTTCCTTTCTCTCTCTCTCTTTCTTTTCTTTTCTTTTCATTTTCTTTCTCTCTCTCTCTTTCTCTCTTTCTTTCAGATGGAGTCCCGCTCTGGTGCCCAGGCTGGAGTGCAGTGGTGTGATGTCCGCTCACTGCAACCTCCACCTCCTGAGTTCAAGTGATTCCCCTGCCTCAGCCTCCCAACTAGCTGGGATTACAGGTGCCCACCACCACGCACAGCTAATTTTTGTATATTTAGTAGAGACAGGGTGTTACTATGTTGGCCAGGATGGTCTCGAACTCCTAATCTCGTGATCCGCTTGCTTTGGCCTCCCAAAGTGCTGGGATTACAGGTGAGAGACATTGCGCTCGGCCACCTTTATTTTTCAACCAGGGGGCTGCTGTGTTTGCAGGGCGTGAACTGAGCTTAGATGCATCAGGGGGGCACCCACAGGTGTGCTCATGAAGCTTCCCCGTGGTGCAAGGTGGAAGCTCGTGTGGGGAGCAGGAAGGCTGGAGGACCACAGGGGCTGGCTCTCCCCAGCTGTCACCTTCCCGCACAAGACGCTGCCACTCACAATTCCAGTGTTGAACCTGGCTGCCAGGTCCTGGGAAAGGGGTATCTGTCAAGGTAGGAAGAGTCTGTTTTACTTAACAGCTGGTTAGCTCAATGTATAACATTTTTGCTTTCTCTCTCTCTCTTTTTTTTTTTCTTTTTTGAGTTGGAATCTCACTCTGTTGCCCAGGCTGGAGTGCAGTGGCGCAATCTTGACTCACTGCAACCTCTGCCTCCCAGGTTCAAGCAATTCTCCTGCCTCAGCCTCCCAAGAAGTAGCTGAGATTACAGGCACATGCCACCATGCCCAGCTGTTTTCTTCTTCCTTTCTTTTCCCTCCCTCCCTCCCTCCCTCCCTCCCTCCCTCCCTTCCTTCCTTCCTTCCCTCTTTCCCTCTTTCCTTCCTTCCTTTTTTGTAGTTTTAGTAGAGATGATGTTGTCCAGGCTGGTCTCAAACTCCTGACCTTAGGTGATCCACCTGCCTCGGCCTCCCAAAGTGCTGGGATTACAGGTGTGAGCCACCGCGCCTGGCCTCAATGTGTAACTTTTAGATATTCAGACTCGTGGGATGCCTTCATTTGTCCTCTGGATCCTGCCATGGGAGGGCCAGGATGGGACCAGCAGAGTCTAGGGGTTGGGGAGAGGATTGTATGAGGAATGTCTGCAGAAAAACCACTTCTAAGCCCCTGCCAGCAGGATGGTCGGGCCAGCCGGGAGTGTGTCGGATGGAGCCAGGGTGGCGGATACTGTGGGTCCCGGAGGAGGTCTGAGACAGGGCTGAGGGAGAAGTTCTCCCCAAGGGACTGGGTGTGAATTGGCCCTTAATATGGTGCAGACAGGTCTAGTGCTAAACAGTGACACGTGTCCCCTCCTTGAACGTCACAGCCACCTCTCTCATTTGGGGTGAGTCAGCTGAGCTCCAGAGAAGTTACGTAGCTTCCTCAAGGTCACACAGGTGGTTGGTGGTGAAGCTGAGTTTCAGGTGTGGGACTTGGGAAGGCATGCTCTGCTCTGTTCCCCAGAAAGATGTTCTAGAAGGAAAAGCAGAGTTCACATAAACCCAGGGGTGGCACTGTGGAAGGGGCCAAGCGTGAGCAAAGGCTGCGGGCGGATGAAGGGCAGAGCAGATTTGGGTGGGGGTGGAATGAATCCCCCAAGACACTGAAGCAGCTCCCAGGTGGGGAACTTGGAGGACAGTGATGCTGGAGCGAGAGGAAACTGACCCCTGAGGGTCAGCAGAGGAGGCAGGTGCAAGCCTGGTGTCGCTCCTCCCTCACTCATGAATCTGCAGCGGCTCCCCTGTTCCTAGCCTCGAGCCTGAGCTCTGCCCCCTGGTGCTGTCACCTGGATCCCTGTCCTGGCTGCTTCTGCACACACAGCTGCTGCAGCCCCAGGAGTCAGCCACGTCTGCCTATTGCCCGGCCTGTCTCTGTCCAGCCTGTGGAGGCTGGCTCCCCAGAGCCCCAAGGGGACACCAGCTCTTGGCCTTGTGTGACCCCCTCAAGTCTTCACCTCCTCTCAATCTGCAGCCAAGGAGACGGGGTGGGCCCACCTGATCCCCTGCCTGGCACCAGGAAGGTCCTTGCGTGCATGTGTGGACACCGCCACTTGAATGTCCCAGCTGTCCACGGGGCTCAAGACGCGGAGTAGGAAGCAAAGCACCCTGGGCTCCCAGCTAGGACCCTGCAGGGCTGGGCCCCAGTCATCCTCCCCTGCCCAAAATTGCCCCCCCTCCCCACAGCCCCTGGAGAAATGGGACTCACCAGGGTCCGACTGGTCCTGGCAGGAGTCCCCGGGTCCCCTCCTGGCTCAGTGCTGAGCTTTGAGAGCCAGAGCTAGGGCAGGGCCGGCTAGAGCCCTCACTGCCTCCCACTCTGAAGCCACCTACCTGGGCACTAAAGAGGGAGAATTAGCACAGGCGCCTGCTCACCACACCCCGCCTTGCCCCACCCTGTCCCCATTTGCCTGGCCCAGACATGGCTGCCTCGAATGTCCTCCCTGAGTCTCCTTGGCTCTGAGGCTCCCGCCATCCACAGTGCACTTCTTCGGTGCTGCTTCCTGCCCACACCCCCTTCTGTGGCCCAGCATCCAGATCTAACCCAATATTTCTTCTCAAATGCCAGCTGGCTGCAGCCCCTGCTATGCGTGTGCATGTGCATATGCAAGTGTGTGCATGCATAAGAATGCGTATGTTCATGTGTGTGCATGTTCTGTGTACACGTGTGTGTATGTGCAAGGTTGTACATGCATGAGAATGTGTGTATATCCAGTGCATTACACACATGTGCACGTGTGCTTGCCTGAGGATGTGTGTGGGTGTGCACATCTGCTACGGTGTGTGCCCACATGGGCACGTGTGCCTACAGGGTGTGTGGTGGGGAAGGGGCTGACACCACCTCGGTCACACTTTTCCTTTTTCTTCTTATTTTCCTTCTTTTGTTTTCTGAGATGGAGTCTTACTCTGTCGCCCAGGCTGGAGTGCAGTGACGTGATCTCAGCTCACTGCAACCTTCGCCTCCCAGGTTCAAATGATTCTCCTGCCTCAGTCTCTCGAGTAGCTGGGACTACAGGCATGCGCCACCACGCCCAGCTAATTTTTATATTTTTTAGTAGAGAGGGGGTTTCACCATGTTGGCCAGGCTGGTCTTGAACTCCTGACCTCAGGTGATCCTCCCACCTTGGCTTCCCAAAGAGCTGGGATCACAGGCTTGAGTCACCACACCTGGCCAGGAACACCTTTTCTTCCAAGGCCTCTCCCCTAGGGACTGGAACTCATTTGACCCAAAGTCCTTGGTGCACCCGGGGCCCTGGCCTGTGACTGAGTTCTCTGGCTGCTGGGACCCTCTTGTCCTCACCCCTTCAGCCCCGCTGAGCCCCGGGATGGAGCAAGGCTGCACGCTCAGGCAGGACCCTGCCTCGCAGCCTCCCCTCTTACTTGGGTAGGGGCTCAAGGGTCTCCCCGGCAGGCAAGCTTGCTTTGGGACCCAGAGTCTGGGCCTGAAAGCAACTTCTCAGTCCCCAGCCAGGGACCCCTGCCTTCCCTACCACAGTTGCCACCAGCCAGAGAAGAAAGTCAGGACCCACTGAATCGGATGGTAACTTCTGGCAAGAGCCTGACATGATGGCCACAGTGTGGCGGTGGCTGGGGCTGGGCTGAACCTCAGAGGTTCCCGGGGAGGCACGCTCTTCTTAGCCTGTTCCTGGCATGTCCTGAAGACCCACAAGGGGCAACTCTCCTATTGGAGTGGCAGAAACAACCCAATTCTGGCTTTGGGCCTAGCCGAGGGTGGTCAAGGTGCCATTGGGGTACCCCAGCTTCAGCCCTCACCTCCCTAAATCCAAGGCCCACCCTCCAGCTCTGTCTCTTCCGGTCGGCTGTGAGTGTCCTATGTGCCAGGTCACGTCTGGGTCCCCAGCTCAGGCCAGGTGCAGAGCAGACGAATCACTGCAAATGAATCACTAGCACACGGCAGGACATTTGTGATGGGGGCGTGGCTTCTTCCCTAACCCTAAGAGGCCACATTGGAGGTTATGGGCAGGGGCAGGTGGGAGCCAAGACTGGCTTACATCAGAACAGAAGCCCCCTCTCCACTCCACCCCTCCACACCTGCAGTTCCCCCACCCCCAAGGTTTCTGGAACACCTCTCTCCCAGACCAGCTTTATGGATTATAAAAAAAGAATTTCATGAGGTTTTCAATTAATTGAATTCCAGGGAGATTTATTTCCAATGTTATTAATAAATTCGAATGCCACCTATAACTTTCAATTGCCAGTTAATTAACTTGAAATCGGTGCATTGTAAAAGGCAAATTAAATACTTTTCCAGGCAGGGGCTGGCAAATTTAATGAGCCGGTATGTCCTGAAGGAGATGGCCGGGCTCACACATCCCATCAAATACTCTTGCCATCAGCAGATGAGGGTGTGATCTGGGTGAGTGATAACTGAACCTCTGCATCCTCATCTGTAAAAAGGGATCACAGAACCTGTCTTCAGAACCCTCAGATACCTGGAGTTGATGCTGTTTTTTGTTCATAGACAAATACAATGAAGGGGCCCTATGGCAGTTAACTTTATGTGTCAACTTGACTGGGCCATGGGGTGCCCAGATATTTGGTCAAACACACCTGCCCTGCCCAGCCCAGGTCAATTCATCTAGTCAGTCTACAGGTGAGTGGGGACAGGCCAGCATCTGCCTCCTTCTGAGCAGAGAACAAGGACGGCAGTGAGGACGTCAGGGAAGACCATGGGGCCCACTGGGGGAAAGAGAGTCCTCCCCTAGGAAGGGACAAAGCTGAGGAGTCTGAGGATGAAGGAGAAGTCAGGGCAAATCGAGGAGGCACTAGCGCCTGCAAAGGCCCAGTGGTGTGCGAAGGGGAAAAGCACGGGAAATTGTTAGAAATGCTCTAGGGTGTGGTCAGCAGGGGAAATATGATACTGTGGGCTTATTGCAAGGCTACAGGTATCTCAGGGGACCCCAAGGACAGGGGCTGGAGTCAGAACAGGCCCCAGGAGAGCAGTACTGGATCCGAGTTAGTCCCGGGGCCTTAGTGGCAGCAGGAGATTACTGATCCCCACGGTTTCTGCCTGCTGCCTCTTTGTCCCTCTTCCTGGGGCAATGTGTCATTTTGTCTCAGTCTCATAGCATCAGCCTGCTCATGACTTCTGCTTCTTCCGATGTCTTGCTATGACCTCTCACTGGCTGTCCTCCAGCAGCAGACAGCTTTGCAGTGACCCAATATTCAAACCGGGTGTCAAGCACCTTCATTGTCTCCCCAGGGACCCAGCACACAGGCTTCCTGGGGCCTCTCTAAAGGTAGCATTCTCAGGCAGCACCTGGTGCTGTAACAAATACCTCATGGACCTGGAGGTAACATTTCTCACAGCTCTAAGGGCTGGGAAGTCCAAGATCAAGCTGCCAGCAGATCTGGTTCCTGGTGAGGGCTCTCTTTCTGGTTTGCAGACAGCCACCTCCTTGCTGCGTCTTCACATGATAGAGAGAGAGGAAGCAAGCTCTGTTGTGTCTCTTCTTAAAGAACATTAATCCAGTTTTGAGGGTCCCACCCTCATGACCTCATATAAACCTAATCACCTTTCAAAGGCCCCACCTCCAAATATCATTACACTGGGGATTCAGGCTTCAACATATGAATTTTAGGGGCATGTAAACAAGTGGTCTACAGCAATAGTATGCCTTGTCCTCGTAGGCAGGCAAGGACAAACCTCAGTCTGGTCTCCCCCAGCCCTGGACACAGACACCTGACAAGGAAGGAGGATTCCGGGGAACTAAAGTCAGAAGCCTCAGAAAGCAGGAAGCATGGGTTTTGTGGCCTGTTGATGGCGGAAGCTTCGATCCAAGTGGGAGAAGGCAGGCTTAGGGTCTCCAGCTAGGCTCTTGCTGAGTAAACACTGCAATCTCTGCTTCGTTTATATCAGAGCTGCATTTTCAAACATAACCATCCCACACCCACTCTCCAGCTATTCAAGGACTTCGATGACATTCCCCCAGTTTCTCAGGCTGTAACAGCGGCAAATCACTGTGCACTTTCTCACTTGCTGCCCGTGATTCCCCATGCCGCAACTACCTGGAAGGCCCGTATTCGGCATGAAAGGATCTTCGCCTTAATTTTTCTTCTGCCTTGTAGCTATAAAGGGAGCACTTTCCTTTCCTTTCTTTTCTTTTTCTTTTTCTTTTTTTTTTTTTCAAGACAAAACCAAAAGGTGCATCTTAATTAGGAAATATGTGCAGTGAGATCAGACTGAACTCTGCCAGGCACCAGCCCTCCACTTTGTGTGCACGGTGCTTTTAATGCAGCCCTGTTGCCATGGCGATTACCACGTCTCAGCTTACTGAGGTGGCATTGCAAACCTGTGGGGAAGAAACAGATTATTCAATAAATGATGCTGGGACATTTGGTTAGCAATTTGCAGGGAAATAAAATTAGCTCTTTTCTTCACATCATACATTAATATAAATTCCAGAGGACTTAAAGAAGTAAATGTAAGAAAGGGAAATCATTAAAAAGCAAACAAATGTTCGATCTTGGGGGTACATCAAGACACTTTAAACCTAAAAGTAGCAAAAAAAAAAAATAGCAAAGATTAAGGTAGAATTTAATACATAAAATCTAAATCTCTTTGTTTTAAAAAGCATTTAGTTTAATTTATTGGGAAACTACAAACAAGAATAAAATGGTTGCAAGAAATATGACAAAAGATTAATACTTCTAATATGTAAAAAGTAATCACAAATCAATAAAAATAAACATTCCAATAGAAAAATAGTGAATGCAAAATGCTCAAAAGATGAAATAAAAATATATAATAAAATATTTCAAAATATTCAGCTTCATTGATCAAAGAAATGTCCATTAAAACATCAATGACATTTTTCGCCTATAGATAATCAAAGAATGTTTAAATATAATTATGACACTCAATCTTGTTGAGTAAAGTAGGAAAATAGAGCATCTCACAAGTAAAAGTACAAATTGGTATAAAATTTCTAGGAAAAAAATTAACTTTATGCCATAAGAGGTTTTAAAATGTTCACAAAATTAAGCTGATAATTTCACTCCAAAGATATCCTAACGCGATGTCCAGGATTCAAGCTAAAAATCTAAATATGCTAATATTCATTGTAAGTATTTAATAGAAGTTTATAACTTACTAGAACACTTGGGCATGGTCAAATAAATTATGCTACATAAATGTGATGAAAGATTGTGCAGCCATTAAAATAATCTTTTGAATACTACTTAATGGTTGGAAATACGTCTATGACATAATGGTAAGTGGGAAATAGTGTGCCAATGGGGTTCTTAGATGCCAGCAATAGAAACCCACTTTGGCTGTCTGGATAAAGTAGAATTCATTAGAGGAAAATTACAGGGCTTGGAATCAACAGGAACATAGAAGAACTAAACTGAGAAAGAAAGAAAAATAGAAAAAGAATCAGAGGAAGAGTGAGAAAGAGAAGAAATATAGAGAAAAAATAGAGAAAGAAGAATGAAGGAACAGATGAAGGAAAGAACAAAGGAAGGAAGGAAAGGAGTAAAAAGACAAAACAAGGCAAACATCTATCAACAGCTATACTTACAGTACCAAAGTAGATATACGGTATGATCCCAAGTCAAGGTAGAATTGGCTATTCAGAAATACCAAATTCACCCTGGAACCCTTATACCATACAATGTTTTCTTCTTACTCACACAAAGTAAGTACTTACTAGGTTGGGCAGCTTTTCCCCATCTTGTAGCTCAGCCATTGGAGAACGTAGCCTCTGAGATTGTCACAATGGGGACGACTGGGATGGAGGCGGCTCCGTGGGAGTGATGCTGTCATTTCTGTTCACAGTCCATTGGTCAGCACTAGTCATATGACCCCCAACCTCACTGCACTGGGGGCTGGGATAAAGAAGGCAGTGAGTCGGTTGAGGCTCCCATCTGAAACACATGGTATACTTAATTTAGGATAATTTGAGGAAGATTTAATTTCAAGGAGACTATTTTTAAAGGTGTGGGTGGGCTGCAGAAGATCCAGAAGGGAGACTGTGATGAGCTAGGGCTATTAACAGCCCAAAGGGACGGGGGTCAGATTGGATTTTCAAAATCTCAACTATACACTGTTTATAAGAAGCACATTTTGAATAAAAGAACAGTATAAAAGATCTGAAGCATACAGTTATCCAGCTTCACCCAATGGACAATATATAGAACACACTCCTACCAATTGCTTCATATGTGCTTTTTAAAAGTACACACAGAACATTTTCCGAAATAGACCATATGCCTAGCCACAAATAAGTCTCAACAACTTTCAGATGATTAAAATAATAAAATATGTTTTCTGACTGCATTGCAATTAAACTAGAAATTAATAACAAAAATATTAGAAAATACCTCAAACCCTTGGAAATAATCCATACTCTTTTAGATAATTCAATATGTCAAAGAAGAAATCACAAGAGAAATTGTAAATTAATGGAAATAAAAATATGACATACAAAATTTGCTGGATGTAGTTAGTGCAGCTCTTAGAAGGAAATTTACAACTCTAAGTGAATATGTTAGAAAAGCAAAAACCCAGAAAATGAATGATCTGTGCTTCCAACTCAAAAAGCTAGAGAAAAAACAGCATATTCAGAGAATGGAGAAGAAAAAATAAAGGAAATAATAAAAATAATGGTAGAAATAAATACAATCAAAAGCAAATGTATAGAGAAAATTGAAAAGCCACACGTTGACACATGAGATTAAGATTAACCAAACTGATAAATACTTAGCAGGCTGGATCAAGAAAAAGAAAGGAGAAAACACAAATTAGCCATGGCAGGAGACATCACTACAGATCCCAAAGACTTTAACAATATAGTAAGAGGATATTGTCAACGGCTTTATGCCAATAATTTAAAAATTTAGAGAAAATGGATAAATTCATTGAAAAACACAATTTATTAAAATTGTCATAAAAAATCTATATACTTTTATAACTGCTATAGAAATTGAATTCATAATTAGAAACATTCCCACAAATAAAACATTTCCAGCCTCAGATTACTTAACAGATGAATTCTACTAAACATTCAAGGAGAAAATAGACGAACTCATAGAGACAGACAGTAGATTAGTTGTTGCCAAGGGCTGGGGGGTATTTGCCTGTTCTAGACATGTCATATAAATGGAATCATACAATATGTAGCTTTTTGTGTCTGGATTTTTTCATTTAGCATATTTTAAAGATTCACCCACGTTAAAAAGTTAATAAATAAAACTTTATTCATTTTGTGGCTGCATAATATTCCACCATATGGATAACCAGATTGTGTTTATCCATGCCTCAGTTGATTGACATTTGGGTTCTTTCTACTTTTTGACTATTGTGAATAATGCTACTACACACATTTTTGTACAAGTTTTTGTGTTGACAAATGTTTTTGCTTCTCATGGATACACATCTTAGAGTGGAATGGCAGGGTTATTTGGTAGCTCTCTGTTTAGCTTTTTAAAACACTGTCAAACTGTTTTCCCAAAGTGGCCACACCATTTTGCAATTCCACTATCAATGTATGAGGACCTCAACTTCTCTATGTTCTCATCAACACTTGTTATTGTCTTTTTAAATTTTAGGCAAACTGGTAACCGTGAAGTGGTAGGTCACTGTTTTGGTTTGCATTTTCCTAACGACTAAGGATACTGAGCATCTTTCCATGGCTTATTGGTCATTGTGTGTCTTTGAAGAAATGTCTCTTAAAATCCTTTCCTACACAACACATCGCTACTTCCCACCATATAAAAAAAAGTAAACTCAAAATAGATTATAGACCTAAGTGTAGGAGCTAAAACTATAAACCCTTGGAAGAAAACATTGGTATCAATCTTGGTGACCCTGGACTAGGCAACTTGTCAGTTGAAGTTTTAATTGGTATCTTTGCATTTTTACTGTTGAGTTGTAAATATTGAGGAACTATTTGGTTTTGTTTGTTTGTTTGTTTGTTTTTAAAGACGGGGTTTCACCATGTTGGTCAGGCTGGTCTTGAACTCCTTACCTTAGGTGATCCGCCTGCCTTGGCCTCCAAAGTGCTTGGATTACAGGCATGAGCCACCACGCCCGGCTGAGGAACTATTTGTAAGAGTTCCTTGTATATTCTAGATAAAAAGTCCCTTATCGGGTGTATGATTTGCAACTATTTCCTCCTATTCTCCCATTCTGAAGGTTGTCCTTTTACTCTTTGATAGTCTCTTTAGAACACAAAGATTTTACTTTTGAGAAACTCTAATTTATCTAATTTTTCTTTTGTTTCTTACATTTGGGTGTCACATCAAATAAACCATTGCTTAATTTAAGCTCACAAAAATATACACCTATGGTTTCTTCTAAGGGTTTTATAGTTTAAGCTTTTACATTTAGGTCTATAGTGTATTTTGAGATAGTTTTTTATGTGGTGGGAAGTAGGAGCCTGCTGTGGGTGGAATTGTGCCTCCACCAACAGATATATTAGAAAATACCTCACTCCCAGCACCTGCAAATACTAGCTTGTTTGGAAACAGGGTCTTTGCAGATATAAACAAGATTAGATGAGGCCATACAGGATTAGGACTGGACCTACATCCAATGACTGGTATCCTTATAAGAACACCACGTAGACAACAGGGACATAGAGATACACAGGAAGAATGCCATGTACAGTGGAGGCAGAGATAAGGGTGAAGTGTCTACAAACAAAGGATTGCAAAGTATCTACAAGTCAGAAGGTAGGAAGAGGCAAGGAAGGGTCCTCCCCAAGAACCTTCAGAGAGAGCATGGCCCTGTCATAACACCTTGATTTTGGACTTCTAGCATTCAGAACTGTGTGAGAATACATTTCTTTGCTCTTAAGCCACACAGTTTAGAGTAATTTGTTATGGCTGCTGGGAAACTAATATGGGATCCAACTTTATTCTTTTGCAAGAGGATAGCCAATTGTCCCAGTCTTTTGTTGAAGAGACTATTCTTTCCCCATTGAATAGTCTTGACACCCTTGTTGAATAGCAGCTGACCGTAAGTGTAAGTATTTATAGCTGAACTCCCAATTCGATTCTATTGACCTACGTGTCTGTTCTTATACCAGCATGACACTGTGTTGAGTACGGTGCCTTAGCAGTTTTGAAATTAGGAAGTATACGTCCTCCAAATTTTGTTCTTCTTTGTCAGGATCGTTGTGGCTGGTCTCAGTTCTTTGTACTTCCATAAGAATCTTAGCATTAGCGTCTCAATTTCTACCAAAAAAGTCAGCTGGAATTTTGATAGGGATTGATCAATTTGGGGAGTATTTCTATCTTAACAATATTAACTATTTCAATCCATGAACATGAGATGTCTTTCCATGTATGTAACCCACTTAATTACTTTTAGCAATGATTTATAGGTTGCCACATAAAAGTCTTGCACTACTTTTGTTAAACTTAATCCTAAGTATTTTCTTCTTTTTGATGGCTTTGCTAAAATTTTTTTAGGCAGGCACAGTGGCTCACACCTGTAATTCCAGCACTTTGGGAGGCCAAGGTGGGAGGATCACTCGAGGCCAGGAGTTTCAGACCAGCCTGGGCAATATAGTAAAATTCCTGTCTCCATAAAAAAGTAAAAATTAGCTAGGTTTGGTGGCAAGTGCCTGTAGTCCCAGCTAGTTCGAGGTTTGCTTCAGCTCAGGAGTTTGAGGCTGCAGTGAGCTATGATTGCACCACTGCACTCCAGCCTGGGCAGCAGAGTGAGACCCTGTCTCCAAAAACGTAAATAAATAAAATAAAATATTTTCATATTATTTATTCCTAGTCTGTAGAATAAAGTTGATTTTTGGTATGCTGACTTTATATCCTGAAACTTTGCTGGACTTGTTTACTAGTTCTAATAGTGTGTGTGTGTATATTCTTTAGGATTTTGTATATATAAGGTCTTGTCAACTGAGAATAGAAATAGTTTTACTTCTCTTTTTCCAATCTGGAGGACTTTATTTATTTTTCTTGCCTAATTACTCTGGCCAGAATCTCCAGTACAATGCTGAATAGAGGTAGTGAGAGAGGATACCCTAGTTGTGTTCCTGATTTTAGGATAAAAACATTCATACTTTCTCCATTAAATATGATGTTAGCTGTGGTTTTTTGTTTTTTGTGTTTTTTTTTTTTTGAGACAGAGTCTCCCTCTGTTGCCCAGGCTGATGTGCAATGGCATGATCTCGGCTCACTGCAACCTCCACCTCCTGGGCTCAAGCGATTCTCCTGCCTCAGCCTTCTGAGTAGCTGGGATTACCGGTGTGCACCACCATGCCTGGCTAAGTTTTGTATTTTTAGTAGAGACAGCGTTTCACCATGTTGACCAGGCTGGTCTCGAACTCCTAACCTCATGATCTGCCCACCTTGGCCTCCCAAAGTGCTGGGATTGCAGGCATGAGCCACCGTGCCTGGCCGAAGTGTGGTTTTTTTGTAGATGCCCTTTATCATGTTAAAGAGCTTCACTTATATTCTTAGTTTATTGTTTTTCTCTTTTTTGTGTGTGTGATGACAGGGTGTTTGATTTTATCAAATGCTTTTTCTGCACATTTTGAGATGGTCCTGTGTGTTTTTTTTTCCTTTCTTCTATTAATATGGTGTATTACTTTGATTGATTTCAGATGTTAAAACAATCTTGCATTCTTGGGATGAATCCCACCTGGTAGTGATATATAATCCTCTTATACGTTCCTGAATTTGGTTCTCCAGTATTTTATTGACGATTTCCATCTATGTTCATAATGGATACCGGTTCATAAATTTCTTTTCTGGTGATGTCTTTATTATCTGGGTAATACTGGTATTGTAGAATGAGTCGGAAAAT